GTTCAAAACCGCAGACTCATTGCTATTCAGCAGAAAACGCTTGAACGGCGCAATCATACCTGTGAGGCTGCTGCTCTTGTACTTTGTCTCCACCGTTGAGTTCTGCCATCTAATACCAGCTAGCCCTCTGCTCTATAGCACAATGACCTTACTTGCGCCAACATACATCTTTGCTCAGGAGACGTGTTGTTACACTTGGGCTGGAACACAAAGTGTCAAAGCATGCTCTTGGAGAGCGTACAACCAACTCGCCTTTCCTACGTTGCGAAGAAAACCATCTCCCTTGCCGCACATGGCAGTTTAGAAGGAAAAAGCAGTTGTACAATTGTCTGTTCATGCCTTGACCCAGTGGGCAACTCTGCTACACGTTGCCAATGGCTCTTGCAGCAGGTAGAGGGTCATGAGACCAAGCTGGCAATTGCTGGAAACTGCTCATGTCACTGAATCTTCAAGCAAGACAGGGCTTTGATCAGGCAGCATAAAGCACTGCAAAATTTGCTGCAGCTTGGTGGGTGGGAGCAGAGCCTAGGGTCATCATCTGAATTAACCCTTGTGCTTCCATGAGAGGGCACACTTCCTCTTTGGCCAAAAGAAAGGCTACCTTTGGCATCTGGATGTGGAATTTTGTGACATTGTTGCTGAGCGGCACGGGCAGGATGCAGCGGGCTCCTTGAGCAATGCTCTCCTGAGTACCAGTACAGATCATCTGGTAGATCTTACTAGGTCGATGCCTCCAGGCTACAAACGTACAGGAGCGCGCTTGGAAGTCCAGAGCCAAGCGCAGACGGAATGGACTCTGCCAGGACAATATGTCAAGGAACGCCAAGCTCGAGGATTCCAGCAACACACGTGGCAAGGGTGTCACTATCTGGCAGTTCTCTAGGAAGAAGCAAGGTCCAGCTTTGGAGCTGAAATATGGCAGGAATGCTCAAGATGCCCAAGAGACCAGCAAGCAGGTTGTGAGCCAAATGCATTTCTTCAAGCATGCCAAGTGAAAACCAAGTTGGCATATAGAAGATGACATTAAAGTGCCATTGAGATTGGAACACTGAGCTGCATTAGCATCACTCTCAAAAAGCCCAATCAACAACCAAGGACGCCTTCTGCCGTCACGAGAAAGGAGCCCTCTAGAGGGCCAAATCGAAAGGGTCTCCTCTGTCATTGTCCATCAAAGCTCACTCCTGGACTGATCGCCCAGCTGTTGAACACTCCCCTCTTCTGGTCCACAACCTTCAGCTATTGAGTTCTGCCATCCAACAACAGCCAGCTCTATGCTCAAGAGCATGAAGAGTTTACCTGCCCCAGGATCCATCTTCATCCAGAAGACGCATCATCACGCTGACCCCGCTGTTCCCCAGGATAGAGAAGACGTACGTGAGCGCGCGATCTCATTGCCTACATTCCAGTCACCTCCTCTTGGCAGCATCTCCAATGTTGGTGTCACTCTTTGTCCTGAGTGGCAAAGCAATCATTGCTGCAGCATTGCAACCATCCTGCTCCAGCACAGGGCAAGTGAACAAATGCTCCCCTAGCTTCTGACAAGGTGATGATGGATGCAGCAAGCTACACTGGCTGAGATCCAATGCGCAAGTGGTCCTTGGAATGGAATGCATGGGGAGGAGCATGATGCTGTGGCAGACAATTGTTACATGCATTCTGATCTGCTGGTGTGGCAGTGCTGCAGGGTAGCAGCAGGCTGAGATTGCCCTTTGTGAAGAGGTACATTCATTGGTGCGGTAGCTCAGTGGAGAGCGCAGAATTGTGGTGTGGCTGGCTGCAGTGCATTTGTACCTCACAAAAGGGGAGGGGTCTGAATCAGGCTGCCCTTCATGTAGGGCCACATTCATGGGTGCGGTAGCTCAGTGGAGAGCGCAGAATGGAGGTGTGGCTGGAGTGCATGTGTACCTCACAAAAGGGGAGGGGTCTGAATCAGGCTGCCCTTCATGTAGGGCCACATTTGTAACGATGCAACTCAGCGGTGATGACCGGAGACGTCACCGGCGCAGGTAAGGTTCTGTGCTCAACAAACAAAAGAGCAGGGAACAAGCGGTTGGTGAGCGGAACAGTACAGCGCAGGCGTACTCAGCTAGCGTACGAGGAGGACAGACGGTAACAAGGGTGACTGCTGGGTGATCAAGTTCAGTTGTCAGGCAGAGGCAGTCAGACGAGGTTGCGGGTGGAGAAGATGGTGGTAAGAATGATGATTTTGAGAGAGGAGGAGGCTGGATGAAGGCCTCCTTATATACCTTTTGTCGACGCTTGTCTGTGTATAGCAGACGAGCGTCAAGGGCTACAGAGAGCGCAGGGGGTGTAGCAAATACATGACAGAGACATGGGCCGCTGTGTGTGACGATAAGCGTCATGGGGGTGTGTCTGACCTCGTCACGGAAAGGCTTGGCGCTGTTGCAGGTGCAACGCACGGGAAAGTGTGCAACCAAGCGTGCAACAAGCGCAGCATGACGGTGCCTTAGTGTTCATTTGTCTTGCCAAGCCAAATCAGGTGGCATCGCAATATGAGTCTTGGTACGAGTCTTGATACGAGTCTTGATACGAGTCAGTTGGAGCGTGTCTTGAAGCGGCGGTCCCAGGGGCTGGGATCTCCATTCGTTACAATACCCCCCGCCTGCTGTAGTCGCTGCCTCAGCAACTAGCAAAGGCAGTATTGCTGATTGGGCCTTCTGTACAAGTGCGCTAACAACGGTCACAGTCAACGGGGAGGTAGGATGATGGTATTCAGCACGCAGGGGGTAGGTACAGGTGCGACCGGTTCAAGACGCGTACAGACGGCCAACGGGGGAAAGGCCGTGTCCGCACGGCCGTAAGACTAGACTGGGGGAAGCTGTTGGGGCGTAAACGAGTCTGGAGGCGTTGGGAATGTGAGCGAGGTGACTGGGACGCGAGCTTGGGGCGCTTAGGGGAATGAAGTGGGACGGGGTTAGGAACCGGAGAGGGGGGACGGGGTCGTGCGGGCGAGCACGGCTTACATGACCTCCTGGCGTAGGTGATGCCTCGAGTCGCCGCAGGTGCACGGTGCTCGAACCCTGTGGGACGGAGGTCTTCGGCTCGTGCTCTGTATAAGAGTGTATAGGAACGGGGGTGTAAGATAGAGGACGAATTGAATGACGAATGACGAGCGCCCTTTGCCGAAGGGGTTGGGTCCAGATTGTGACGGAGGCCTGGGACCGAGCTCGGTTTGCGTTTTGGCGTGCTGCAGTGTAGGCTGCGCTGGAAGATCATCTGTTCGGACAAGACAGAGTGGTTCGGGGGAGGAGCATGGGTGACCAAGACAGTCGTCAACGCGCGGGAAAACTGCTCGTGCCTGGAGGTATCGGTGATACGCTCCTTTTTGGGCGGGGGCGGTGTCGCAGCCTGCAGCGCCCATCCTGCAGCCTGACCATGACACCATTTGCCCCCTATACATACCGGCCTAGCGGGCCACTAGGGTCTCACAAGTCTGCTATCGCCTTAAGCAGACGAGTGTCTTTGCGTTGAGCGCGGCTCGACATCCGAGGGAAAGAACCTCTTCAACCGCTTCAGGTGCACGCGACCGCCAACTTGTTGTCCTGAGTCTAGATCTTCAATGACTGCGGAGTTCCTGAAAGATTCTTTGACTTTGTACGGTCCTGACCATCTTGGATGAAGCTTGTTGGACCATTGAGAACGAAGCCAGGACTCATGCTTGAGGACTAGATCTCCGGCTTTCAATTCGAGCTGCCGAACCCGCAAGTTGTGCCGAGACTTTTGCTTTAGCTGCTGGTTCGCAAGGGCTGTCGAGGCGTCCCAACGAATTGAGTCCAGAAGTGCCAGGTGCAGTGTTGAGTTGTCCTCATCCGGATCGCCTGGGTCGTCACTAGCTTCAAGCGGCGAAGACCTGGGGGTCAGGCCGAAAAGAATCTGAGCTGGAGAGTAACCAATCGCCGGGACCAAGCGGTGGTTCAAGTCGCTAGTGACCTCTCCAATCAGATTGGGCCATTTGTCGAGCAACCGTTCCGTGCTCAGCTTGCGCAACATTTGCACAATCAGCCCGTTGTCGCGCTCTACCAGACCGTTGACCCATGGCGCATAGGAAGGGGACAAGCGGTGTTGCACGTGGTGCTCTTGCAGCCAGTCGCCTACGTCCGCGTTATCGAAATGCGAGCCGTTGTCGGTGATGATTACAGCTGGCAGAGTCCACCGGTCACGGAGATGGGACAGCGCATGTAGCACGTCCTGTCCTCTTTTGTGCGCGCACAGGAAAGTCCATATGAACCTGGACCCGTAATCTGCGATGACGAGAACCTTCTTGAACTTCCCTGACTGCGGTAGCGACAAGAAATCAGCTGCCCAAAACTGCATCGGTTCCACGTAACTTATCGGCTGCGACAGCGTGTTTTGATGCCTTGGTCCCTGCAACTGGCACGGCTCGCAGTGTCGGACTACCTTTTCTGCATCTTCTCTGACGGTTGGCCAGAAGTACTTCTTCCGCGCTGCCGCTATTAGCAGGTCTCTGGAAAAGTGGCCTTCCTCGGAATGAAGACGCGCCAGTTCTGCTCTTCCTTCTTGTTGAGTTATGGCCTCTGTGCTTGGGCCCCTACGTTCCTGATGCCACACTTTGCCTTCTTCGAAATCCACGTATAATGACCTTGCTCTCCAGCGCAGTGTGGTTTGCTCTGGAAGATCTGATGACGATGGGACTTTTGCGAGCACTAGAAACCTGACTGTTGGTCCGAGCTTGTCTGACTCGAAGCGCTCCAAAAGGTGCAGCATGTTGCCGTTGGACGTGATCAGATTGAGCAGTGCACTACCTGAACTTCTGCCAATGGCGTGGTGAGCCGCTTTGATCGAAGCGCCGAGGGCTTTGTCAGGAGCTTTGGAAGGGTCTGCGTCAGCCGGGCGATGGGACAGGCCATGCGCTAAAGTGTGAGATGTGCCCACGCGTTGTGTTACCCTTACGATGTCATGCATCAAAATGTCCTCCCGCCACCTCGCGTGCGCGGCCGGCATGTTGGACGAAGATAGGACGTCACGAAGCGCCTTACAGTCCGTAACTAGCTCGACCGGTTGTCCGAATGTGAACTTGGCAAACTTGCCCAGAGCCCACTTTGCTGCCGCTAGTTCACCCACGTGAGGGGAGTATTTGGCCTCGGCATCGGTGCAACGTTTTGACGCATACGCTATGGGGTATGTGCGAGGCTGCGCGATGTCCTTCTGGAGTAACGCCGCTCCCATGGCCTCCGACGACCAGTCGCACTCAACAACGAACGGCGTGCCGTCGTATCTCGGGCCCCTGAGAACGTGCGCATTCGTGAGAGCAGCCTTCAACTTTAGGAAGGCTTCTTCCTTGGTCTTGGTCCAGTTGAGACCTGTAGACTGCATTGCTTGACGTACAGCCCCAAACCGTGGTACCGATATCCACTTGCCGTTTGCTTGCTGCAGCAGCTTTGTGTCTGCTCTCGGGACCTTGACCCCTCGCGTCAGCACGTCAAGAGGCGCGGCGATGGCCGCAAAGCCTGGGATTTTGTTGCGCATGTATGGGCAAGTCGCTTTGAATTGGATGACGTCGTGGACGGTTGTTGGGGTTGGCCAATCCAAGATGGCCGCAACACGTCCTGGGTCCACTTGTACTCCTTCATGCGAGATGTTCTGTCCGCAGAAAGTGACCTCGTCCGCAAAGAACTGACACTTGCCGATTGACAACGTGAAGCCTGAGTCGGCGGCACGTTCAATGATCTTTTGCAACCATCGGAAGTGAGCCTCATAGCTGTGATGGCCCCCGCCAATGTCGTCCATCCAGAAATCCCAGTCCAAATCGAGCATGTCGCCGAAGACTTCGGTGGCAAACCTCTGGTAAGAGCTTGGTCCGATCTTGTAGCCAAAAGGCATGAAACGGTACCCAAAGTACCCCATGTCTTCGACCTCGAAGCAGGAATAGATGACACCTTTTGGCATTTGCAGCAGCGTCATGAATCCGGCCAAACCGTCCATTCTGGACTCCAAGCGCTTCCGTGCCAATTTTGCTGTCTTGACGTCGATATCTCCTGGAGGGAAGGAGGCGTTGCGCATTGTGGTGTTGAGCGGTGCATAGTTGTGTACTAGTCTCCATTGGTTTTCGCGCTTTTCTTGGACGGGACGCTCCGGCACGTCTATTCTCGGCCCCTTCTCCAGACCTGCGTTGACTAGCGCATTATGTGCCTGTGCCCTCAGGTGTTCTATATTGATGTTGGAGTCGAACTTGCGGTCCTTCGGGACAATCTTGACGTCGGACACCCACTCTACTTGGGACTCTGGTATTTGCAGAATGAGACCGTGTTTGATCAGCGTACGGACACGATCATGTAACCAAGCTTTCTGAGGTGGCGACAGAGCTGTCCTCTTGGCCAATCTAAGTGGCTTGGTGCCTGGCTCCAGTTGCGGATCGCAGAGCACAGCCTTCTGGTATCTACAGTCTTGTAGGCCTAACGCCCACGCCTCGGGGTTTGCCATTGCCATTTCAAGGAAGTGGGTGCGTTGTGCCCAAGTGAGAGTTGGAGCACAAGACTCTGAGAGGACGTTTTGCAGAGCTGTTCGCTTGTCAGCGAGTGACGACTGCCCTGCCGGCCTTACGAATCGTGGACCAAACTTCTCTCTGCGAGTAGCCCTCGCTGCATCATGGCCTTTGTCCTGAGGCTTGATCGGTAGGACGTTCCGCAGATTCTCCAGTTCCGAGGCCTCTTGTAAGGACGGGAGGTAGTCCTCTTGGGGCTTACCTCCTGCCACCGTCTCTGCAGAAGCGTCTCGGACGAAGGGCGTCAGCAATTCTTCTATTGGGTCAGTCTCGCGACGCACGTCATCCAGCAACAACTGGACAGACTGTATCACGGTGCCGTCCACTGGTGCCCCTTGCTCCAAGCCGATTAGATCTTGAGCCATTTCGAACCTGCCCTCGTCCATCGCGTTAATTGCTGAGACAGCTCTCAGCGGGGTCGCCGGTAGCGGAACTCCTGCCAGCTCCACTTGGGACGAGGACACCCGATGCCATCCGCCCGCTTCGGTAGGAAAGTATACTGTGTCCAGCTCGTAGAAATGGATGCATCTTGCTGCTGTCTTCCATGGACGACCGAGTAACAACTTGAAATTGTCCCCAGTTGTGTCCAACACTTCTACTTCGGCTGGGACTGGGCTGCATTTTCCTACCGTCACCGACGTTTGGACGGTACCTTCTGACTTCCGCACCATTCCGTCTGCCAAGCGAGCCATTACCTTTGACGGCGTCAGTGGGCCTAAACTTCCTGCCATGCTCTTGTACACTTGCAGCGGCATGACGTTGATCGAAGATCCATCGTCCAGTAAGGCAGTGAGATCCGACACTTGTTGAAGATCTTCTTGCTCTTCCGATTTCTTCTCGATCGCGACTACCAACTCGAACAGACGCTGGCGGTCGACCGTCGAGATGGCTCTTCGTAGGTCTACTATTTCAATGGGCTCCTTTTCCGGTTCGGCGAACCGCACCTGCTTTCGGCTAGGTGGAACTCTCTGTGGCGCTCCTTGTGGTTTGAGGCTGGGCCGGGATTCCTGTCTTGTTTGCGGTGGCCTTTCCTCCAACGGCGGGGTTCGGAGCCAAGAACTATCTGAACTTGTAGAAGGTACTGACGATGGTGCATGAGGAATCAGGTTGGGTATATTGCTTCGCTGCGCTTGGTCAGTGGACGTGTTGAAGACTTTGGAAGTGTCGGTCAGGCCTCTGCGAGCTGACGACACCGACCGGCCGCCAACCCTCTTCAGTTTCCCGCCTGCGCGGTGTCCAAAGTAGTGCTGGCCGCATCTTCGCCGTCCGACTCGGTGAAGTCGAAGTCGATGAGATTGACTTCCCTTTTCGACCTTTTGATTTGAGCGGAGGCTACCTTGCGGCGATACTCCTGCTCGCCCTCTGGAAGTGGTCGCGTGGCTGGGCAGGACGCCTGGAAGTGACCTAACCTGCCACACCTGTGGCATTCCATGGAGCCGGCGGGTCGGGATCCTGGAGTTAGGGGGTATGGTACTGAGGCTGATATCGGGCCAGCGTATTTTCGGACAGCCTCTCTATATTGGGCGCGACCCTTGGTCGTGTCTGCGAATGTTAGCTGACCTCCTTCGAGCTGCGGCTGTCCGCTTCTTTGTACACGATTGGAGCCTGTGGCCGGCCCCGCCTTGTGGCCGGCCCCGCCATTCCGGAGGGAACAAAT